ATCCTACTTAATCTTGTTTTTTTAAATTTTTTATGTTCTTGTTTGTGTTGATTTTTTAATAATATTTCTTTAGTTGCCATTGTGATGCTTGTTGATTTTACACAAACAATAATTTTCTTTATTATTATTATATTATCATTGTTATGACTTTACATCATTTATGAGAGACAGCATTGAATAGACATGCTGAAGGAATATCAACTATCCTGATGACAAGTGAAATTAATACTAGTCTTGACACAAGTCCTTGTTCAAGAAGCTGTGAGCTAAGAGTGTCCATCTTCCCTGCATGTTATGTTGCAGCTATTCCTGTTCTTTAAGGCTGATGTCATTCATATTATCATTGCATATCATACATGAATTGTTTGTTTTTTAAAATAAAATAAAATCACACACTTGATAAAACAGTAACATGTAAGATTAATACCTTCTTTTAGCTGGAAACCTCCACTAAAGTATTGCAGTAGTTGATTCCAAGCATAGCTTGGTAAAAAATAACTTGCTTCTTCCAGAGCTGCAGATCTGAGCATGCGCGACCACACCCAAATTTTGGAGCACATGCTTCTTTAATTAACAAAATGGCAGCATGCAGCTAAGATGGCTCTATCCAGCGGTCACAATATCACTTTTTCTTTACTTGAAGAATGATCTGGTGGGACATGGACCTGCGCATAGACTTTTGGAGTAGATTGGTGTAAGAATTATCTTTGTAGCACCAACCAATACTGAGATACACACCGACAACTGGATTGACAGGACTTGATGATGATGAAGAAGATGATGAAGATGAAAAAGGTGGCTGAACAAAACGGCCGGTTCGCTGATTTTTAATTTCCTCTTAGACAGGGCCTAGAGCCACGCTAGTTGTACCATTGGAGTCCTCTGGTCAAGATGAGGTCCTCTATAAAGTCTGGTAAGCATAGGAGCTCGTTTTCCCGGTATAGCAAGGCAGCCATTTTGTTTGGGGGTGAATCCTACTTAGTAACGCTACCGCGTTACTAATAGTACAGGGAATTTGGCTTCATTTTTAAGTAACTTTAAAAATTCGCAAAAAAATCCAATTTTGATTGGAATTAGCTTAATCTTGCTACATAACATAAGAACATGTATATGTATCAGAAAACATTATAAAAATGGACAATTCTCTTCTAATCATTTTTGTCCAACTTTTATATCAGAAAATGTAATAAAAATGTAGAATTCCTTCCATTTCAGTTTTGACTTACTATTCCACCAGTTGCTATAGCTAAGTCAGTTAGTTGATTCTTTCTATTGTCACCGAACCCTGGAGCCTTGACAGCTGCAACTTGTAGCCCCACCTTTAACCTATTAATAATCATTAATAACTAACCACACCCACACACATGGTAGCACCTGTTCAGTACTAGTGTTGTCAGTGCCTCTCCATCAACATCTTCAGCAATTATAACGAGTGGACGACGTTGAGCATTAGCAAGCTCAAGAGCTGGGATCAGCATCTGGGCGGAGCTAATCTTCTTCTCCGAAAGCAAAAGAAGTGCATTCTCAAATTCAACCTTTTGTCCTACATTTTTTAAAAAGGAATAAAAAAATTATGGCTTATCTTTAAAAAATTATAAGAGATCTCAAAAATTATTTTAAAAATAAAACTATGGATACCTTTACTGGAGTTTATAAAGTAAGGTGATATGTATCCTCTGTCAAACTTCATTCCTTCGATCACTTCCAGCTCATCATTAAGAGTCTTGCCATCCTTAACTGTGATGACGCCATTCTTGCCAACCCTCTTCATTGCCGATGATATGAGATCTCCAATCTCTTTGTCGCCATTGGCAGAAATTGTAGCCACCTAAAAATTTTAAAAATACATATATATATACTATATCCCAGCTCAGTTTGGGACGGAAGTGGAAGCAGCTGCGTGGAATTTGAAAAATGTATCTACGTCACAAAATGACGTATTTTAATGATATTCATAGAAGCATGGCGGCTGTGTTGTTTCACTCTTAAAACAGTCTTGCTCTTCCTGATAAGCAGTACAATAGCTCCTGGAGTCAACTAGTCTTCATAAAGGCCATCATTATCAGAAGATCTTGCTCTGTTAGCTTTTTAAAACAAGAATTATCAGTTTGGGCAATCGACCACATGTTCTTATGTAAACTATGACGTAGATAATTTGTCATAAAACGTCATTTTGGTATGCCATTGGGTTTATAGGGAGAACCCAGTTCTCAGGGTTCCCAAGAGTTGAAAGACCCAAGATTTCACAGATTTTGATGGACTTTGGCGACTAAGAACCTGTGAAAGTTTCATCCTTATCCCACATTCCTATAAAAAGTTATTCCAGTTTTTCTTGTCCCAAACTCAACTGGGATATAGTATATAAGATAATATTCTAATTCCCTTTCTTGGCTTACTTGTGCAATCTCCTCTGGAGTTGTGACTGGTTTTGATAGATCCTTAAGTGCGGCAACTACAGCAGATACAGCTCTCTGAACTCCAGTCCTCACTTCATTAGGGTTGGCTCCGTTGCTCACACGAGTGAACCCGTCTTTAGCAATGGAGTGTGCTAATACAGTAGCTGTTGTGGTACCATCACCTATTGATAATAATAAAATTGTGAAGCTTTGATCTTTAAAATATGGACTGTTGCAGGGCTGCACATTAAGCTAATGTCAATGTTCCCACATTTGCACATCCTAAAACTACGGTGTAGCTAGAAATTTCTGTGGCTCAAAATTTCTGCTAATTTTGTGGATTTGGAAAAATCGCAGAAATTTAATCCTCAAAATTTTAGTAGACAATTTATTGGCCTATTTAAATTAAAAGGCATGGTAAATTTGCAAAAATAAAATCCGCAAAAGCTATTTTGATGGCGATTCGCAAAATATTTGGACCACAGAAATTTCTAGCTATACGGTATTTTTTAAAATTATTTATGACCCAACACCCAATTACAATTTATCTTGTATGTCTCTCATTATTGCAGAAGGTCTGATCATTTTAAATCTGACAATATGAATACTAATCATTGAGACGCTGTACTGCTATCACAAACACTTAATCTTCAAAATATTATCTTTTTCACCAAACCCTCTTCACAGACCTGCTTCCTCATTTGTGTTGTTGGCAACGTCTTGGACCAAACGAGCTCCTAAATTCTCTCTCTTGTC